AATCATAAGTGAGAAAGCAACAGTTCCTGACAATATACCAGCCGAAGCACTGGAATTATACATAGGAGTTAAATAAGAAAGGTTGGTTCAGTGAAGGGTTATCTTTTTGGCGAATTTATTTTAAAAGCTGCACAATCGCAAATAATTATCCTTATTCTTCGAAATGATAATAAACACAATAATAATGATAATAAACTTCTGTTAAACAATAAGACACTGGGGTAAAATGAACAGATGTAATGGAAAAGTTTCAATCAGGTTGACTATTATTATCTTTATTATTAAGAGCTTGAAGATTTATCATAAAGATAGATAAAAGTTATCATTGGAAAAGAAAGGGTCAGCATGATAAGATGAAGTGTCGAAATTGAGATGAATTGTAATCTGGAGGATCATAGAAACAGAAATAAACCAGTTGGGAGTATAGGGTTTAGGCGAAGATGGAAGGGGAAGTAGATGTTTGTAAAGGAAGAAACGTTTGAAGAAAATGTATTGTGAGACATTACGACCACGGTAGAAGATGTTGTACCCATTTCTTTCGGACACATAAGGACATATAAACAAATACAAAGGTGCTCCACGTTCTATTCGGGAGGATTCGGGAGGAAAAAGTGTCGACAGACTGGAAAGGATTATACCTCAACAATATACCAAAAAGGAGGTCTGAGCAAATGTGAAAACTTCATTGGCATCACATTATTATTAGTAACGGAAAAAGTGTTCAACAGAGTGTCGCAGAGCTGAATGAAAGATGCAGTAGAGGCCTCACTTCCAGATCAACAGGCCAGACTACGTAAGTATCGGTAGTACACTGATCAAACCGTAACACTACGGATCATCGTTGAACAATTAGTTGATTGGAACTCATCACTATACATCGAATTTGTTGAGTGCAAATACATAAGGTCTTTTGGATTGTCTAATGATTGCAAATTGCATAATATGTTCAAACCCTCTTTTTGAAGTCTGCAACTTTTGTGGTGGTATTCTCCTCGGCTTGAAATAAATGGGTGAACCTGTAGTGGTGATGTGGTGATGCACTTGATGCACCGTTCATTCCTTTTCGTAATCCACTTTAGTGATACATTTGTATTTCGTTAGGATATCAATGAAAAGACTGTCCGCAGGTTTTACTACCATAAATTTGGTAATCGGTGGTAAGTGTACCATTTACCTGCAAACGTGTATTCTGATCAATCAACTTCCTTTTGTAAACTGTAGGCGCTGAGAAAATAGGCCCCGAGAACAGGTTGCTTGACTTGAGCGACTATAAAACCCAGGTAAATCTTCTCCGGAGTCTGATGTCTAATGTATGGGATTGTTCACTATAAGTTCTGATGACCGTGTCGTTAGCCGCGATAAGAGACAGTCGTCGTCGTGAGAGGTGAAGTGGGACGATGCTGGTTTCTGCTCCTGTGTCGACTTAAAAGTCTGAGCCAGAAATACGGTCTCTGATATGAAAAAGGCAGCTAGCGTGTTGGCTAGTAACAAACGCCTCCATTACTGTCTGACCGGCCCGTTTCCCTGGTTTTCTTGATTGTTTGTTGTAAAGTTGCACGGTTGTATGCAGCGACGTGCTCTCTCACCATACTTCAGATGATAACAGCTAATACCAGCTGCCCGCTTGTGTGGCCTAAGGCGCTGTCTGGACACAGATCTTTTTCTGGACGTGGGTCTAGCGGGTCGGAAATGAATAGTTGCTATAGTTGCCTTCAGTGATGCTAACTGCCTTGTTAACTGTGTTAGCTGTTGCTGGAATTTGAAAGTGTCACTCATATGTTCTTTACTGGAAACTTGTATCGAGTTATCTACGTGACTATCGGGGTATATTTCCATCATTTTGTCTGCCATGTCTGCTAGATCTTCTAGGTTAACGGAATTCTCAGACACACTCAGGATCTGTCTCGTATTATATGGTAAGTGTTGAAAGCACATTTTTTATGCAAGGTTTCGTCTAATTTGTACGGACCTGCTAGTTATTTTATATGCCGTAACAACTGTGATCGTCTCTTGTTACCTAGTTGGCATGCTATTAACAGTTACTAAATTCTTTTTTCGTCGGATACTGATGTGCGTTGTATTACAGCTGCTTTAATGTTTTGTAAGGATCGATCTCTGGCACTTGGTCGATTAGGTCTCCGATTTCAGTATCGATTTCGATAATGAGTGCGTCGACAACGTAGGCCTATTTGGTTGCCTATGAGCGTATGCTTCTAGCTATGAATAATGCTTCTTTTTGGGAGAACCAAATCCTAGGGTTGTTAGCACCATGTGAAGGTAGTCTGAATTCAGAAATGACAATAACTGAACTTAAAATATTATAGTCTGTGTGCGATGAGTTAAGGGGAATTACTGGGGGGGGGGAATTCACGTTAGTATTTTTATTTGGCGAGTACATAATGTGAAAAATAAACTTATGTATCAAGTAAAAGTATAAGCAATATAACAACTATGATAGACTCGAGGCTCACCAGATAATTGTGGTGGACCAAATAATATATGAACTCAAAAATGACAACAGAGTTACTAAGTACGAATAGTAATATCAATATATATCAGTTAAACGTTATAAACACAACAAAAATTGGAGACGTTACTTAATTCAGCAGGTTTGCGCGTGTTCCAGTTGAGTTTGGTACCAAAATCCACAATTATAGATGATTGAAGATTCCAGTAAGGTTGATGTCTTTCCAGTGATATAACCGAACGTAGAATATAGTACAATTTGGTTGCAGTCTATAAATGTAGATGGCAGTTGATTTAGAGTTCAGTTAACACAATCACGAGCGGTGAAGAACAAGAGGTATGTGTATAGCCGTGTATTTGTTAGTAGGTAACAACGTGTGTCACGCTACGAGTGTAACACGACGGAAGAAACTGTTTACAAAATAAGCTTGTCATACATATCTCCACAAATTCGTCATCTTCCAGAGTAATATTCCGTCAGAAAATAGGTTGGCCAACTTGTGCTAGAAATTGAGACTTTAAATTAAAACCTTCTTGACTGTTAAACACTGTATATAAGTTTAAATGAGTGTTCTGGCCGCTGATATTATTATGGTGGATTATTGATTCCCACATATCTAGTTTTATAGTGGTTTGTGTGACATGTCTAACTAGTCAACGAATGAGCTCTTCCAGGCTAGTCGCTTGCAATGCCTCACAATGTAACAAACTCTTCCGAATCCCAAGGACATATACGGTAATTTGAGTCTTTCACACTTGAAGTGCTTCGTCATATTTTCTGCGGAGACAAAACCAGATGATATGGGAAGTTGAGATTCACGTCATGTACATCTGACCTGGATAAATTATACGTGTCTTATAACTTATAGACTTAAAATACGTCACCCACGTAACGTACTGTCAAGCATTTCGAGCAAATGTAACCTTTCCACGTAAACCTAAAGTACCGCCAAACGTAACGACGGCCATGTCTACGTTCATTTAGTCATAGAATCTATCACATTATTATGTATTTTTGATTAAAGAACTAGATTATGCTGTGAATTTTGTTCTGGTTGTAATTTTTATTTGCTGCGTTCGAATGCGTTACGCTGGACGTGCATTGCATGTTGGAATGATACCCAAAGTCATATTAAGCTTAAATATGTCGCTGATTTCTTTCAAGTGAACCGTCAATGAGTAATGTTACTGCCGAAAGGTTTGTTGTGCTGTAAACTATGTAAAAAGAAATGCTCACTCATTTCCGTTGGCACGCTTAGGTGTCACAACTAAAAAGCGATTAGTGTAGTATTATGTATTCATTAGAGCGTATATAGCTCCAGGAAGATGAAATTGTAGGCCTAGAATTTATGCAGAACAGGAGGAATCAGAGGATTTTATATTGATGTATCATATTTATCAAATTCCCACTAGCCCTAACATATCGCTAATTCATTTCGTTAATAAGTCACACGTAATATATTTATTATTATTCACAAACATCTTATAGATACATAACTGTTCTGAAGAAACTATTTCGTGTCTCTTCAAAAATGCAATAGTACACAAGGTTCATTAATTTTGGCATATTTGCCATATTTGAAAAATAGAAGAAAAGATGATAACAATAATAAACCAGGTTCTGTATAACTGAGACGAATAGTGAAGGAAACGTGAAATGCGTAAATAGTGTTTGTGAACACAGAACAAGAATAAACGATCATATATGTGTCGCCAAATGAGTAACAAAAACGAAACAAAATGAATAAGAGAAATAACTTTTTATTGCAGTAATATACGACGTTAGAATAAGTGTTTGTGCTGTCATTGTTTGGAATGATGCTATGAATGTCTCAATTACGTGCAAAAGATTACCAAATGTCAATACGTATGAGTCATATATACATAGTGAAAATAAAACGAGTCTGAGAAGTCAAACTAAGTGTAATACAAGTTATTGTCTTAATTACAAACTTCGGAATCCTGAAAATAATATTTATTTAGGAGAAAAAAGAGAGGAAATAAGTGAACACCTAGTGAAAGGGTCCAACAATGATAGTAAGTGTAACGACGTTATAAACGTAATTGTCGATTTTGAAACCCCTTGAATTCCAAATACTGTGTAGAAATAAAGGTAGCCAGCTGATTTCTACATATAAATATTTTACTAAGCATATGATAAGGGTTCTCATAGGTTTTGTATAATGCATATGAGATTTACCTTCCCTTCCTTTGTTTTAAGGGTCATATTTAGGAAGGTATCTTTTATATCGAAGACTGGCCCTCTTTAATTCAGATCCGCATCCCAGGAAATTTGCAGTTATCTATTTCTGTCAAACACAGTCTTGGGTTAGAACCGACGTTCATTGATTTCCTTGTCATAACTTAGTCTTCGAATTATATTTCCTCTTTCAGATTCTTGTATTAGGTCCTTAGATAGCCAGCCTTGAAGTTGAATAAACCTCCTCTATCACTGTCTTGTAATAATAACACGAAGTGTTTTCGGTAGGGTGATACACCTTTTTCATATCTTGAGCCATTGGACGCTAAACTTTGACTAGTCGTTAATGTAGGCCATGATGCGGCACTGATTTCAAACTGCCGCACATTTCTGGAAAAGATGAGGTTAGTAACTAGATTTAATTATATCATTGGTTTGTAAATCCTAAAATCACGGAACAATATATAGTAGTTTCGCGTGACTAATTTTGTTTACTGTCTGAGAGCTTTATACAATAATTTTGATTTAAGAAGGCTGTACAACTGGAGTGGGATCTCTTCAGTCTAATTTTTCACCGGTTGATACCTGAAACTCGGCAGACATAACCATATGTAAAACATAGTCTTTTAGTAAACGTTTTATATCGCCTATTTTCTTTGTAGTAGGACACAACTAACTTCACTTGCCTTGGTTGGTGTGTGTATTGCAAGAGTGTGTGCATAAAGTCAAAGCCGGGGACATTATTGGGATGTAAGGCTGAACAAACATAACCGTAGACCAAATAGGGCCGTGACTTGCATCAGCCTCAGGTTAACGACCTTATCTTGGTTAGCGTGTTCAGCATACCCTATGAAGAATGTTGGTGATGACTCGGTTGAATCAAAATGTTACTAACTATAAAGCCATTGACTGCTGTTCCTGACCAGGTCCCGTAATGTGGGTTCCTCAGGTAAAACCTTCGAAATATTTTAACCTGTTAAAGACCGGATGACAATGCTCAAAATCATTTTTAACAACCCGAAGGCACTCAGTATATGTCTGGCTGAGTGTTGGTTGAAGTGTTACTTTGTTTGTCGTGAAGCCTTCATTTCACTTACTCACTTCGTGCCTCTTTTTTTCCTTAACGCAGTTTCAAACGATCTGCAGTGTGCTAAACTAAGCAAACACGCATGTGTCCGTCTTTGTGTGTTTGCGAATTGTTTGGCTCCAAATCTTTTTACATTTCTGTAGTATATGCTGTCCTTCGGGTTTCGGATGATATCCTAGCTGTCGCGTTTTGTCCATATTGTTACGTACAGGTTCTGCTGTACACTAATTTAAATGACGGCGGAATTAAGTTTACTTTCACCTCAAAAACTATTTCATTGATCTTACTTTTGAATACTAAACCCATAACCGCTAATTTTGAGTTTGTAGCCGACTTTAGTCTTCAGTTAGGGCCTCTTTTTCAAATGTCAAGATGTTAGTTGGTGGATGTGTCGGGAGTTTTTTTCCAAATGTCAGGGCGGATGTACGACCAACTCGAAAGCACAAAGGCACCAGTATTTCATGCTATTATTGGATGACTGGGGAATTTTGACGTGGTGTTTGGATGCAGTATGGTGTTTTGCTCGGTCAACCAGCGTCCACAGCGATGCTGCCTTCTCATATTGGGTGAATGGGGTTAGAGGAGATCGGTTCTAAAAATCTCACATCTCATCTTACTCCACAGACTTCCATCTCCTGCGGCAAGGCCTTGTTGATGACCGAATCCCTCTACCACCTCTTAATAATTCTTCCACACCCACGGCTAACCCTTATATATCTTTATCACCACGCTCTAAACCATATGTTGGAGTTTTTAATGTTCGGACCTTGTGTCAGATGAGAAAACAGTCTTTTTGGCTTGGACTCTAATATCTTGCTCGGTCGATGTGTGCTACGTCTCCAAAACTCGACCGTTGATGTGGTGGTCGGGCTTGCCTATCGTGATGAAGCAACCGAGCTATACTAACTGGAACAACTGTTCCTCAAGGTCCTACCACGTCAGAAAGATCGGTTGAAGAGCGGTAAGACTAAAAGCAACAAACCCAAGGTCCGAAGGCGAAGTCGTACTGCTGACTGTACAGAGGTGTGACAGCAGTAAGGTGTTTCCTTCAGACAACCAGCATAACAGCGGTGCTGTCTTCCAACAACAAGAAGAAGTGGGTTAGAAAAGTTCGACCCTAAAAATGCACACCTCGCCTTATCCCACGGATATCCGTCTCCGGCGTTAAGGTCTCAACAAGTACGGAGCTAACACAAAAATTGCCCATATAAAAGTCGTGTGTGACCGACCACAAGCAGTTATCCCTTGGGCACTGCGGTCACGCTCCCAGGTCACTAAGACCACTTCTAATCCAATTTCCTTTTCAGGTACCTCCAGAAAAACCCTTCCTCGGTGTGGGCAACCGGGGAGTGATAACCGCCTTCATACCTCTAACAGCACCCAAGACCACTGTATTCATAATCAACCTTCCTCTTCAATTCCTATTATTCCTCCTACATCGACTTCAAACTCTAAACTTCCTCTTTCGGCTTCCTCCTCAAGTGTTACCATAGCCAACGATTCTAGTGCTCAAAACTCTGTCCCAGGTCTACTGAAACCTCGCTCCACACTACACATTGGAGCCTTCAATGTACGCACCCTATGTCAAATCGGTCAGCAGGCTTCCTTGGCTAAAACCCTAGAGTCTCTTTCGATTGATGTATGCTGTGTCTCCGAAACACGTATACAGGATTCCAGTGTGGTCATTCACTTGACCCCACCTCGGCAAGACGGAGAGCCAACGAGATACACCCTCCGTGTATCTGGTGACCCGATGGCCAGTTCTCGTGGACTGGCAGGTGTAGGCATAGCACTAAGCATGAGGGCCGAACAAGCACTGCTAGAGTGGATCCCCGTCAACAGTCGTCTATGTGCTGTTCGGCTGAACGGCTACGTAAGAACTCGGAAGGATAGGGACACACGTCGTTGCCTTTTCGTCGTTTCTGCCTACGCTCCCACTGACTGCAGCTTTCTGAACTTCTTCAGAAAGCTAAACGCTCAGACATAGTACTCATAGGGAGTGACTTTAATGCTCAGATAGGTAGCTTAAACTAAACGGAAAGGCATTTAGGTGGATATTTTAGCATTCCGGCACAGCGAACAGATAATGGTGACCGTCTGCTGCAATTATGCTCAGACAATCGCTTATTTTTAGCAAACACAAATTTTAAGCATAAGGAGAGACATCGTCTAACATGGCGACCTCCTACACCAAACCAACGATGGACTCAAATAGACCATATTGCCATCAGTCACCGTTGTAGAGGGTCGGTAGAAGATTGTCGCCCATTCTGGAGTACTGCTTGGACTCCGACCACGTCCTAATACGGGAACGCATCTGCTTGCGCCTCACTGAACGCAAAAAAGCCACAGTAAAAAGACCCATTCGAACTGAGTTGAGTTGCGAGGAAACCAAAAGTAGGTTCCAGGAACAACTGAGGTCACAATTAGGTAGTTTTGAAGACGAGGCTGACCCAGATGTTGCTTGGAAAGATATACAAACAGCTGTGGAAACAGCAGCGACATCTATCAGTGATTTAAACCACAGAGTTGCAAAGAACCAATGGATTTCCTCAAGGTCTATTGCACTGATGGATTCTCGCAAACTTGTCCCATCAGGTTCCGAACATGATGAAGAGCGACAACAAATCAGATCTAGGTTAAGAAAAAGTCTAAGAAACGACCGTAAGCAGTGGTGGGCAATGAAAGCAAAAGAGATGGAAAAGGCGGCGACTATAGGGAACACAAGACAGCTTTACAGACTAATAAAAGAAACTGGAATTAATAAGTCAAGTGTAAGTGAGATTATATCGGAAAAAGACGATACTCTCATCTGCTCCCAGTCCAGACGTTTAGAACGATGGGCGGAACATTTCAGAGAACGGTTCAACTGGCCTTCAGCTACTCTACAACTACCCTCCATTCCCAGACAGTGTGAATGGAACATTGAAGTAGGTCCCCAACTCTTGCTTAAGTTCAAAAGGCTATAGTTAATCTGAAGCGAGGAAGGGCAGCTGGTCCAAATGGACTGGCTCCAGAGGTCTTTAAGGATGGTGGTCCAATTTTAGCGATTAGGTTGACTAATATTTTAGCTAAGATCTGGGAGTTAGACGTTATCCCATCTAACTGGTCACAATCACTTATCGTCCCAATATATAAGAAAGGGTCAAAATCATCCTGTGACAACCACAGAGGGATTAGTTTAACTAATATAATATCTAAAATACTAGCCTCGATAATTATCAGACGCCTAACTAAGACTCGTGAACTGCAAACACGAGAGAATCAAGCTGGCTTCAGACCTGGTCGTGGCTGCATCGACCACATATTCACGATTCGTCAGGTTCTAGAACACAGGCATACTTATCGACGTCCGACAATGGTGGTCTTTCTTGACTTAAAAGCAGCATTTGACTCTGTAGACGGCGAGATTCTGTGGCAGTGTCTGTCATTGAAAGGCGTACCACAGAAGTACATAAACCTTGTGAAGGCTCTTTACTCGAACACTACTAGTCGAGTCAGGGCTTATGGCGAACTGTCATCTACTTTTGCAACCTCAAGTGGTGTCCGTCAAGGCTGTCCACTTTCCCCATTTTTGTTCAACTTCATCGTAGACCTATTGATGGAAATAACATTCTCATCTACTGAGTTCTCGGGTATTGATCTCCATCCAGGAGGTCCACTTATCGACTTAGAATACGCAGATGACATAGTCCTGTTTGGTGAAGACGCTGAAAAAATGCTGAGTCTTTTGGTAGCACTAAGCAACAATGCCAGAATGTTTGGAATGCGCTTCTCTCCCTCTAAATGCAAGTTGTTGCTTCAGGACTGGTCTGCGTTAACACCTGAACTAAGGATAGGGAGTGAAGTAGTCGAATGCGTTGACAACTTCACTTATCTTGGAAGTCTGATCAGCCCTAATGGGTTGGTATCTGACGAAATCTCAGCACGGATTCGAAAAGCTCGCTTGGCTTTTGCCAACTTGCGTCACCTTTGGCGAAGGCGAGATATCCGTCTATCAATAGAAGGATGAGTATACTGCGCGGCAGTCCGTTCTGTTTTACTTTACGGCAGCGAAACATGGCCTTTAAGAGTAGAAGACACCCGTAAGCTTCTAGTATTTGACCACAGATACCTTAGAAATATTGCTGGCGTCTGTTGGGATCACTGGGTAAGTAATAGTGAGGTTAGACGCAGGGTATTAGGTAATGATGGTAAATCAGTTGATGAGGTTGTGAATCTTCATCGACTGAGATGGTTGGGCCTTGTGTTGAGTAGGCCTGAACACCGATTACCACGTCGTGCAATACTAACGGGTGTTAGAGATGCTTGGAAGAG